TGCCGTAACAAACGCAAGCTCGCTCTCTACCATAGTAACCACTGCTACCGCTATATTTTTCCCAGACAACTTGCAACCAACACTCCTACCCACTATAACCATTGTAATCCAAACCCAACCTCTATTTTTGTCATTTAATGTTTCACTGCAATCTATACATGTACATGTGTGTATTTGTGTATATGTATTATGACTACTGTGCCACCACCACCACCATTATTGGCCTTGCCACCAAACACCACTGTTTTACCAAATCAGAAAAACAAACCCCCGAATTAGATCTTAAAATCAAATATATGGATATAACCAAATAAAAAGAGACCAAATCAAATTTCAAACCACCATCATAGTGGGTTTCCGAATTGAAAGTGACAATGCAATTGAGTGAGGAGTTTGTGTAAATCTATCACAAGTGGAGCCAGCGTGTTGATTCCACGATAGTTAAAGCCAAAAGTGTTGCGTGACTTCATTAGAGATGTTTCACACAGCCTATTGACCTTTTCATCATAGTGTGTTTGATTTGGTTGAGAGAATAAATGGTGGATCATGGTAGCGCTGCAATTGAGGATATGTGTGAAAGAAAGGGAAGGAAAAGAGGTTAATATGGTTAATTCATACTCTCAATCGAAGGTATTAATGTCATTACGCGATTTATACGTTGTCCATTACATCTTTTGTTGTTGGTGAATGATGGCTATTTCACAAGTACTTACAACAAATTATCCCTTTCTTTCATTCCAGAGAACTTTGCTTTTGTTTGCCATTTTTTCTTAAGCCTATTTTTCAGTTTAAAAACGGAGGAAGTGACGACATTAAAGGAAACAACATCCAAAAAAAAAAAAAACAGGATACTTATTTAGAAAAGCCATTTACACAAATTGCTTTTGAGAAAATTTCCAAAATAAAAACACAACCCTAATATTATATTCAAATTTGAGGATGTACATACACAACAAATTGTGATTGTACAATAATATGACAAATGACTATTACAAAACCATAACTAATCTTTCTTGTTTCTCATGTACAACTTTCCACGAGCATCCTCATTGATACTATCAATCAGGCTTTCTGGGAAATCAATCGGCTGCAGAATAGCATCATTAACTCCAAAATCCATCTTCGCGAGATAGTCCGCAGCCCGGTTAGATTCACGCCATGAATGAGAAATTTCGAATTGGTCAAACTTGTTTAGAAGCCGCCAAATGTGGTCCAATCCACTATTAGCCGTTGAATGAAAGCACTGTTGCTCTTTCTTAATTGTTTTGACGACACTCAACGAATCAGACTCGATCCAAATATATTTAATACCCAGTTTGAACGCATGCATGAGACCTCTCCATATGGCCCATAATTCGACTACGAAGATGTTGTGTACATCTTTGGGAGGAAGAACTGAGGAGACATAAGCACATATGGGAAGACCATTGTAATCACGTAGAAGACCACTATAACTCGTAGTCCTAACATTATTTTGACCACCACGTATAGATCCGTCAGTGTTTAATTTAATCCAGCCGACTTTTGGTTTTTTCCATATACACAATTTTTCTGTTGCGAGAGAGTGTTGAAGAAACTTAAGGATAATCAAAGGTTGTTCATCGTCAGTAGACAGGAACGTAGGGAACCACGGAGGTGTAGATGTGGGTAACCACGGAGGTAGAGGTGGAGGTATTGGTGTCGGCAACTGCAACCACGGAGTTGTCGTCTCCATATCAATAAATCCAAATCCACCAAATGAAGATGAGCGAACCCGAGTGTGTAACATCATATTACTAATATGCAATGAAAAACAAATACACCAACCCAACGAAGAAGAAGAAGATTACCGAAGATCACCAAGTGTATGATATGTGAAGACCACCAAGAATGAATCAAGTTATTAACCCGTGAACACCAATCCAAGGAATGAAGTCACTAGAAATAAAGCTGTGTAGTGTATATATACTAGTGTAAATCCTAGTTTCCTAGTTTGGATGGATGACCAACACAATTAATAACTAGGATCCTAGTTTGGATGGATGACCAACACAATTAATAACTAGGAGCAATTATCAGACGCAATTATCAATAACAAAGCGCAATTATCACGTGTTGTCAGACCCAAGAAAATTAGTTCTCTTATCAATAACTTGGAGCAACTATCAGATGTGTTATTGGACTCTCTCTAATCTTCTATTAGACTGGGTCGTCTAGTCTGGCCTAATGGGCCTGTTTTTAGGCCCCGCTTCCGCTTTGATAATTCGAATCATTTATATTTTAAGATTTATCGAATACATCATCTTTATAAAAAAAATTAAGTTAATCGGATAACAGAGACCACATGTTTGGATTAATTTTGTATAAATCGTTATTTTCTCACCGTTTATTTTTTTTTATAAAAAATTGATCCAAATACGTGATTGTCGTTATCCGATTAACTTGATTTTTTGTAGAAATGATATACTCGACGAATCTTAAAATATGAATGGTTCAAATTATAAAAATAGAGCTCAAAAGTGAGTCCACTGGGTCCCACAGTACCTCGCGAGTCCAATGGAAAAATGAAGAGAAGCCAGTCTCATTGCCCAATCCAACGGAACAAATTCAATGATCAAATGAATGGAGCTGATTTATTAGTAGATATAGAATTGTTTGATTGGTTGGATTATAACATTGAATTGAGCTTATTAATTCATGAAATTAACATTTCAATATTTGATTATAATTTTTATTATCTAAATTAGTTTTCGATAGACATTCTATCCAACAAAATTAAATATACTATTAAAATTATTTATTTTCATATTCATTGCAAAACAAAAGTAAACAAAAAAATTATTCATCTCAATAATCCAGTTGGATAACCAATCATTCACTAATCTATCTATTCTATATATTATATAAGTAAAAATGGATTTTTAGTGAGAAGAGTTGAGAGAGGTCTAAGTGTTCAATCTAAATTTCTTGATTTTTCAATTTAAAAAATAATTAATAAATCAGACACTAACACTTTCTATTTTAAACAAATAGTGCATTTCCCCCCTCCCCCCCAAAAAAATCATTCATTCCTTACCATCAAACAAGGAAGGAGTTTTCCAATTAAGGAAAAATAATGAATAATGCTATATGTGCCAATTGGTATATCAATTAATATACTAACAGATGATGTGACATAATTTTAGAAATTTTGAATATTTTTAATTTGTATAATGGGTGGGATCATAATTTTTTTATCTTCAAATTCGAACTTAACTTTTTTTTTTATCTTTATCTTATATTTATAGAATCTTACTCTTACTCTTCCTTTTCAATTGAGTTTATTCAATTGAGTGCATTTCAAAAAAATTAATTAGTCCTGCATATTTATATAAATATAGTGAAATCACTCAAATCTATTATTTAAATACTCATCTAAATTATTATTGTAGTATTTAGTTAATTTTTAACATGTTTAGTATTATTTATCACATTTTGACAAAAAGATAAAAAAAACTACAAAAGTACAAAACTATCCCATATATAAATAAAAAGTCAAAAAAACATCATTCTATACTAAGGGCAATTTTGTCATTTCAAAACCAAAAAGTCAAAAAAGCCAAACAGGAATACCAAACAACTAAAAAAGTCCTAAGTTTAAAAAGTTAAAAAAGTCAAAAAATCAACTAAAAAAATCATTACCAAACAACCCCTAAGTGTAATACAAATATACATAAATTTGAGAGTTCATCAAATTGAAATACTCAGTTCACACTTCTCTTTAAAACTGAAGTGTTAGACAAATTGAAATCTTATAATCAATACAAATGGAACAATTTCAGGTGATATATGACACATTCCAACATATCATACAAGGAATTATTCCATTCACATAACCTAGAAAACCATTCAACTTGTTTGGTTTTAGATTTTTGAAAACACTTTTAAGAAAATTCTATTTTCTTATTTTTCATATTTTTTTGTTTTTATTGAATATTTTAAATATTTTAAACAATTTTTTGAATTTTTAAATACACCTAATAAATACACTTAAAAAGTATAATTTTTATGAAAAAAAATCTTTAAAAAATTCACTAAATACCAAAAATACAAAAAAAATAAATAAATGAAAATTCAAAATATTTTTCATATTTTTGTATATTTATTAATTTTTTAAAATATTCTTTCACAAATATTTATTTTTTAGATACATCTAAGGTGTA